AATAAATAGCCTAAGTCACTAAACGTCGCATCATAGCAGTTTTCGTAAAATTATATGTGGTGCCAATCCGAAAGCTGATTAAAGGTAAGGGTGTCTAAAACTGAAAAAGGTCACCACGCTTTTGATGAGATCATCAGCGCCATGGGAATGCACATCGTTCGTTAGAGTGTTCCAGTGTTTCTTAAAGCGTTCGAGATTTATGACAGAAATGTTGCAATCGACCAGAAAAACATGTACACAAAGAGGTGTACATCAGTCCTCCCTAAAATGCTGCACAAGCAAGTTTTCATTTGTCACTTGCTGATCATGGATTTAACGAATTGTATCAAAAGTCAAGTGATTGCAAGGCAGACCACACATGCTTTTTATCCGTAAACAACATGACAAAAAGGATTCATGATTTGAAGCAGGCCAAAGTTGATTTACACAGATACTACAGTAGAGCGTGAATCATACAAGTCACTATTTTGCCCTGGTCATAGGGGAAAGTCTATGGTATTTGGGTACCTGCGGAGTACGATTATGCACCAACATTGCGGGCTCGAATAACATGCATCTGCTGTTGATGAGCGCTTACACAATTGGTGCAGACCAACTGAATTTGGTTTTTATTCACCAAAATGTTTCATATACTGTTTACGAAATAAAAGGCAATTCTACCTTGCCATGAGTCTTCGGGCAACGAACATGAATGTTATTCGAGCCAAGAATGGGATACGTTTATACAACTTTGGAGCCCAAATACTATGCAATTCTGGCCTCTACAGCCCACGTGGTGTACATATGGACGACTTTAGATACATAATTAAATATGGAGTATGGTGTAAAGCTATATTCAGTTTATAGAAATATCTCGCAATAAATATGATTGACGGGCTGCTACAGTACCGAGCTGTGGCTGGTTTGATTAACATAAATAGGACCCATCACTAATGCAATGTTCGCCTTAATGAGCGGGCAACAGCGGCGACGACAACCCGACATGTGAATAGCGAACTTAATAAGAAAGTTTTCAAAGACAATTTAAAAAAAAGAAAAAAAAGTATTTATGTCAGCGTTGACAACAACTACTTTCCATAGATACTACTGTGGTCATGATTTGCTTATTAACTCTCCAACTCACAGGTTTATGTGTTAACTTTTCACGAAGAAGATAAAAGCAAAAGGATGCATTGAGTGCATACCTCACTGACTGACAACCATACAAGGAGGATAAGCGAAAGTAGGTGCAAATAACTCTGACTCTTGTAAGCAGTTTGGTCAGATTTCGGATCAGAGGACCGTCAGATGATGCAGGATAGTCATTTTTAGGTGACCACACCTTTTTTCATGATTAACTAGCTATTCTACTCTCCAGCTGCCGATGAAAAAGATTATGGCGTCTTGCAATGGAAAAATAAGTTAAGCTAGAATGACATTAATAACTGCTATAGCAATATCGTTTATGCATATAATTTAAACTTTGCATTAACATCAGTGAGGGAAGGCAAGAATCACAGAAACAGACTGCAAGTAAGAACGATACGATATTACATACTCTCCATAACTCGAAATTGTATACAGACATCCTGTTCCGCACTTTACAACTAATTGCAAAGAACTGAATGCATGAAAGAATAGAAGGACTGAAAGAATGATTAGTTCAATGAATAAATGAATACACGAACAAATGAATTGAGCCACTGAATCAATGAGCGAATGTATGAATAAATGTGAACGAATCAGTGATTCATCGCATGAGTAAACAAATAAATTTTACTGGTTCAACGTCATAAACAAAACCATGTGTTTAAATACGAAAAACAAGAAAAGTGCAGAAAAAGCATTAAGCAGAAAAACAGTCAAGAGCCTTAATCAGCAAACGAATAAACGTCCATGATAACGCAAACTACGGTCGCATGCTTGAGCCATGCATCGTCGTCTTTCTGTACCATGTCACTGGCAAAGAAAAATGGGTTGGAAGTTCTTAACGCATTTACGTATTCATATTCGTGATCACTGTTTAACGCAAACAATCCCGTCAGGAGAAACTGTCAAATACTCAAAAACTACCGTATCGTCAACTTACTCGAAGGAATGGAAAGACAAGGAATGAATGTAGTAATTTTCGCAGATTATGAACAGCAGTGAGGATAGAACCGTATAACGGGAAGAAT